AGCCTGCCGCCGAACGATGACCGTGCCGGCCAAGACGACTGCTCGGAGCCCGCCGGAAAAGTTGGAGGCGCTGGCGGACAGGAATTCCGCCTGCACCTCCTCGACATCCCCGTCGGCCTGCCCTCGGGGGCAACGATACGGGGGGGGGACGTTCAAGCAGTGGCGAAGCGTCCTGGCGTGCCTGTAGTCCTACCAAACAATGTTCTAAGAACCTTTTGTGGTTGCCACGAGATGTGCTGAGAACATGTCTGGCGGAGCCTGTCCTGTTTCAACACATCGGGCGTGTGCTCTGAGAACACTGCTTCTGTCCTTAGAACAGTTTTTTTGGCTGCTACGAATTTCTTTGGAAGCCCGAAATGGGTACGGAAAGAATGGGCACTATGCCCAACAACAAATGTTGTCCCAAGCCAACAGCGGCCGCTGTTGGGCGGGCGGCCTCCTGTCTCGAATGGACACAAGCCGCGGCGGCGTGGACAGCGGATCTTGTTCAAAATGAACCAGATCCGCTGTTGGGCATAGTACCCATTCTTTCAGTACCCATTTCGGGCGTCCAGAAATTTCGTGGCAGGACTACGGGAATGCCGGGACGGTCGGCCCCGGGGCGGCTGCCACGGCCGTCGGGCGGGCCGCCCCCGGCGGCCGCGCACCACACCCAGGAGAGAGCCGCGCGCGGGCGGAGCGGATGCGCCAAGCCGCCCGGGGGTGGCGCACGGCCCCAGGGGGCGGAGCGGGTGCTTCGGAGCGGCGCTCCCAGGCGCTCCCAGGCGCTCCCAGGCGCGTTCCCAGGCGCTCCCAGGCGCTCCCAGACGCTTCCAGGCGCTCCTTGGCGCGGCACACGTGCGAGGCAGGCTTGGCCGATTATTAGGGGAACACAAAAAGGGACCTAAACAGAAAGACTTGGAGGTCCGCGCGGATTTCTCGGGTCGGCGCTGGGGCCCCCCCGGCGGCGCCTCCGGCGCCGCCCCTGGCGCGCTCCGCGCGCCAGGGAGGGGGGCACAGCGCCGATTCGAGAAATCCGCGCGGACCTCCGAGTTTTTATGTTTATGTAATTTTTCGTTCCCCTAATGCAGGCTTGGCCGATTGTGACACGGACATCATTGGAGGGGCCCTGGGGCACACAGACACAAACAGGCACAAATCACAGGATTCCCCACATGTTCCCCCATTTTCCTGGGATCCATTGTGCCTGCGTGGTTCTTTCCCTCCCGAGGACAGGAGGGAGAAGGAGGGCACTCGCGGCTAGAAGCGATCCGAGATGAGCGCGCCGGAACGGCCAGCTGGGGCTGAAGTGGCGCGGCGGCGGACGCGGGACGGCATCACGGCCACACCGAGGGAGTGAAGCCAGGGCTGCAGGCGCTGGGAGCGTGCGTGAAAAACGATGTGAGCCTGCACATCAGGAAGAGGCCTCACGGAAGTGCAGGAGCGGGAACATCCGGCTGTCCGTCTCGTTGCCAGGGACGTCAGGCTTTGTTGGGGCGCCGACTGGATGCAGGCACAGGATGGCCCAGGCAAAACACAAGAAGCCCGCACGGGGCTGCGCCGAAGCGCGTGGGCTCCTGCAAAATGCCGTCTGCAACCGGCCAGCATGATGCTGACGACTGCCGAGGCGGCGCCAGCAGAGGCTGGGAGCACGCGGCGGCAGCGGCCCAGGCGGCGCCATGGCGGCGCGAAGACGGATCGTGCACACAAGGAACACAACCTAAAGGCCCAGAGAGAAAAGGATCGTACAGCGCCCCGCAGCCCATGTTGGCAAACCTGGCACGCGGATCATGCCCCAGAAGAAGTTCCACCGATGGCACCACTAGGCAGTTTCGCATGGCGTCCCCCCGCCCATTTCGGAACATGTCTCGCACTGGTCGTGCCTGGAGGAGGTCCACCTGCGGCCTCAGTGGGCGTGTTCGCACGGGGGCATCCGAATCAATTACTTCGACACACCCTTCGAGCGGATCGTGGCCCACAAGGAGTTCAGCGCATCTTGCACACGTGCTCCGCAGCAGCCCGCTTTCCGCATTGTCCCGCGGCGCGAAGTGTATGAATAGAGAGACCCGCGCCCTGCGCTACACATGACTGCATATGGATGGGTCCGTCGCCAAACCAATTGTTTGCTTATCTATGACCTTCGACCCACACCGCTACAGTGCCTGAATTTTGGGCGAGAGGATCCTTGGATACCTGGAGTTGGGGGTCCGTTGGCATGCTTCTCGGGCGCCTCGTGGAGCGACTTTTGAAACTTCTTGGAGCCTCTTGGAGGCCGTTTGGGGGCATCTTGGGGCCTCTTTGAGAGCCCTTGGGGGCCTCTTGGGCGCCTGCTGACGACCCTGGGGGCCCAGTGGGAGCGGAGGGTTCGAAATGTCAGTTGGAGCTCTCCCACTTGGATCCCTCCTGGGGCCCGCTTGGGCCGTCTTGGGCGCCTGTTGGACTGTCTTAGGGCTCTCTACTGGGCCGTCCTAGGGCTCTCTTGAGGGCATCTTGGGCCGTCTTGTGGTAATAGTTGGGGCCTCCTGGGCCGTTCGGACCCAAAGTACGAATATGCTCAAAATATAAGCGTACGCACCCTCGGGAATGGAACAATTTTGGCCCTCCTGGGGCCCTCTCGGGGCGCATCCTGGAATCTTCTTAAGACATCTTGGGCGCCTCTCGAGCCGTCTTGAAACAATATGCGGGTGTCTTCGGCCCTGTCAGGCCGCTCTGGTCGCTTCTGGCTTCCAGAGCTGTTTTGAGCGGCGGGGGGGGGAAGCTGGGGATGCCCCAGAAGGGGTCAAAAATGTCGTGGGCAAAGGGGGGGAATCCGACCTGTGCCCCGGTCCCCACGGCCTGGTCCCCGGTCCCGACCTGGGCCCCGGTCCCTCCGTACCACGGCACGGCACAGTATCAAACTGTACGACCACACATCGGGTGATGAGGCGGTTCGGGGGAAGGACGAAACAACGTCTCACTCAATCGATCTCACTATCGATCTCACTACTGATCTCACTATCGATCTCACTACCGATCTCACTATCGATCTCACTATCGATCTCTCTACCGATCACACTATCGATCTCACTATCGATCTCGCTATCAATATCACTATCGATATCAGTATCGATCTTCTTATCGATCTCGCTATCGATCCCACTAACGGGAAGGATCGGTTAAGAAACCTCCGTGTGCCACCGTCAGCACCACACCGGAAATAAGTAATCCGCGGGGGCAGATTCAGCGGAGCGATATCTTTTGCACCGCATCAAGCCGCAGATATCACAAATGGTTGCCTTCCCAACCCCACCACGCTTCGTAGCCCCACCGGGAAGTCTCGTGAAGGCCCCGTGGCTCCGCTCGCGCGGCGCCGCTGCGACCGCGCGGGATCTTTACTGGACCACGTGACGGGATGGCTCCAGGAGTCTGAGGGCGCCAGAGGAGTGCTAAGCAACGGTCAAGTGCCAGGGTGCCAGGCTAACGCTTCCAGGTGCTGGATGCGTCACCTTTTCACCAGAGGGGGGGAGGGGGGATTCTGAATCGCTTCCTCTGGTTCTCGCTCCCACTATCGATCTCACTATCGATCTCACTACGGGACACCGACGGGACAGCGACAGGACACCGACGGGACACCGACGGAACACCGACGGAATACCGACGGGACACCGACGGGGCTCCACTATCGATCTCACTATCGATGTCCCTCGATCGATCGAAGAATCGATTTCACTCATGAGACACATTCGATATCACTATCCCTATCGTTATCGATCTCACTATCGATCTTACTCACTTGATCTCACTATCGGTCTCACTATCGATCCTACTATCGATCTTACAATCGATATCACGATGGATCTCACAATCAGTCTGACTATCGATCTCAATATCGATCTCATCATCAGCCTCACTATCGATCCCACTATCGATCGCGCTGCGTGACACCGACGGGACACCGACGGGACACCGACAGGACACCGACAGAACACCGACGGGACACCGACGGGACACCGACGGGACTCGACGAGACATCACGGGCCACCGCGGGACACCACGGGACGACACAGGAAACCTCGGGACACCATCGGGACACCACGGCGGGACACTCCCGGCCACCGCCGGCCAACCAGGGGGGAGGGGCGCTCTTTTGGCCCGGCGGCGCCCTAGCCAGAGGGTTGGTTTCTCTCGCCTGCCCACGTAGCTTCGTCTCGCCCGCGCACACGACAAGAACACGAAACTGAAACCGATTTACTGGTGGGGGGCTTTCCGCTTCACTGCTATCTCAACCCCTCGCCTAGGACTTGGGACGGGAGGGTGTACTGCAGCATCGTGAATATATCCTGGGTCTGCTCTGGTCCTCCCCCTTCTCCTGGTGCCTCCGCTTCCCCTCCGCCTTGTTCTGCTCCGCCTCCTGCGCTCCCTGCATTTCTTCTTTCTCCTCCTTCTCCTCCTCATCGACACAATTCCGTCCTCCTATATCCTACATCGTCCTCCTCGACCATCGCCCATCATCCTCAGTCCATCCTCCTCCATTTCCATCCTCTATCATCCTCATCCTCCTGATCCTCCCTCGCCTCGTCATCATCATCACCAACACCACCGTCATCTTCCCCCACCATACTCATCATCCTCCATCCTGGATCATCACCCACATCTGAATGTATCCGCTTCTCACTGCCCACATCCCACTCCCCCTCCCATCATGTTTGCTTCAAGTTCCATCCACCCACCATCGCCCACCCTCCCCCTCACCTTCACCGTCCTCCCCCACGTCCAACTCACTCTCCTGCTCCTCCTCCACCCCCTATCCTGCCCACCCCCTCCTCCACCTCCCCCACACTCTCCTCCTCCCCCTCTCCCCGTCCTTCTCCCCCGTTCTCCTCACCCTCACCCCACCCCCAAACTCCTCCCTCACCCTTTTCCCCCACACCCCCATTCCCAACCCCTCCTCCCCCTCCCTCTACCCCTCCCCCCCTCCCTCTACCCCTCGTCATCCCCTCCCCTCCTCTCAAACTGGTCCCCCGAAGGCGGGACAAGGCAACCGCGGCTCCTCGTCGGACCAGGACTCCTATGGGGCCGCGCCACGGCGTCGTCGTAATCGTCGTCGTCGTCGCCGCCGCCTCTCTTTCTACCCGTCTCTTTCTCTCTCTCTCTCTCTCTCTCTCTATCTCTCTCTATTTCTCTCTCTCTCGCTCTCTCCCTCCCTCTCTCTCTCTCTCTCTCTCTCTCTACATATGGTTCGCTTCTCTCTCTCTCTCACACTATATATATATATATACATGCATGAATATAAATGTGTATCCCTTATTATCATTATCTCTATCTCTCATGTTCTCTCTATATATATATATACATCGATGCCTCCATGAATACCTATATATATATATGTGCATATATAAATGTATGTAAATATAGATGTATATGCATGCGTGTGTATGTATGTGCACATGTATACACACATACAAACAATACGGGTATATCGGTGTCTCTCTCTCTCTCTCTCTATCGTCTCTCTCTCTCTCCCATTATCTTTCTCTCTCTCTCTCTCTTTCTCTCTCTCTCTCTGTCTCTCTCTCTCTCTCTCTCTATATTTATATATATACATGAATATATCAATCTATGGGTATAGTCCATTCAAGATCCCCCCACGCAATTTTCTGAACTTCCACATGTCCGTGCGGTTCCCCGAAAGACCCGTCCGCTTCAAGTTCCATGAATCGTGAAGGGACAACCCCCGTCTCCGAGAAGACACCCTGTGCTCAACAGCTTCCGTCTCCAAGACAAAACCCAATACTCGACAGGCTCCCGCTGCAAGAGAGAATCCGTAAAGAATCGATTCGCATCCCGATCCGCAGGCCCGCCGCCCGCCAGCCCGCCGCCCGTCCGCCTTCCGTGTAGCACGCACCACCCTGTACTCAACAGCCTCCGTCTCCAAGACATCACACGGTAGTCAACAGCCTCCGTCTCCAAGACAACACCCAGTACTCAACAGGCTCCCTCTGCAAGAGAGAATCCTTATAGAGTCTATTAAAATCCCGACCCGCCCGCCCGCCCGCCCGCCGCCCGCCCGCCCTCCGTGTAGCATGCACCACCCTGTTCTCAACAATTTACGTCTCCAAGACATCGCCATGTAGTCAACAGCCTAACAGCCTCCGTCTCCAAGACACCACCCAATGCTCAACAAACTCCCGCTGCAAGAGAACATCCTTCAGTAGTCTATTATTAAAATCCCGTCCCGCCCACCCGCCCGCCCACCCGCCTGCCGCCCGCCCGCCTGCCTTCTGTGTAGCACGCATCACCCTGTACTCAACAGCTCCAAGACAACACCCGGAAGTCCACAGCCTCCGTCTCCAAGACAGCACCCAATACTCAACAGCCTCCCGCTGCAAGAGATAATCTTTAATTGAGGAATGAAAAAACGACACTACCCTGGGTTACAAGTGCGTGGTCGGTAAACCTGCCGGGAACCCCCAAAGCCTAGAGCCGCCAGGACGCGGCACATCACGCAGGGTTTACCGCGTCAGCCCACAGATGTTTCAGCGCACAGCGCCTCGTAAACCAGGGTAGGGGCGTTTTTTATGGCCTTGATTTAAGGAGCGCACTCAATTCCCGACCCGCCCGCCGCCCGCCCGCCCGCCCGCTGCACGCCCACCCTCCCACCTTTCTATTCATCACCTCATCATCTTCCTCCCCGTCCACCTCACCCACCCCACCCGTGTACACGAAGACAAGACTCTCGCCCTAGGGCAACTAATCGAGGTACCTATATATATATATATATATACATATATATATATACATATATACATATATGTATACATATATGTATATATACATCTATATATGTGTATGTATATGCAAATGTATAAATAAACATATATCTATATATACGCATACATACATATCAACATACGTCGCATCTCCCTTCTGCCCATCTCTATATGATACTATCTCTATCCGTCGATCCAGCGTGTGAGCTACACGACTGAGCTTCAGCGCTGCTGACGGGGCTGCCGGGGTGGCCCTGCCGGGGCACGGGGAGGTAAGGGGGGAGACTGCACTGTTTCCGCGGGGCCAGGGCTGGGGCCGGGGCCGGCGCCGGGGCCGGGACTGGGGCCAGGGCCGAGGCTGGGGCCTGGGCCAGGGACCGGCGCCGGGGGCCGGGGCCCGGGCTGGGGCCGGGGACGGGGCTGGGTTCGGGACCGGGGCCGGGGCCGGGGCCGGAGATGGAGCCCAGGCCAGGGCCGGGGCCAGGGCCAGGGCCAGGGCTCCCAAGACCGCCCGGCGCAAACGTTCCATCCAACACATACTGCCTAAGGCGACTTCCAACACCCTCCTCCTCCTCCTCGTCCTCCTCCTCCTCCTCCTCCTCCTCCTCCTCCTCCTCCTCCTCCTCCTCTCCCTCCTCCTCCTGCAATTTCCCCGTCCTCCTCCTCCTCCTCCTCCTCCTCCTCCTCCTGCCTCCTCCTCCTCCTCCTCCTCCTGTTCATCCTTCCCCATGCTTCCTCAAGGTAAGGCTCGCAAACTATTACACAACACGAC